AGAGATGCCTCTACTCCCCGGGCCTTCTTTTGCCACTCATGGGCGAACTTTCTATCTGCGCGGCTCAAGGGGGTGCTGCTCCGTGGGGGGCTGGCATGAGCTGGGGCTCTTCCCCTCCTCCCTCCACCCCCGCGCCCCTTTCCACCAAATCACAAATTCTTCGCTCCTGCGATCGCTTCAATCTGCGGCTCTTCTTAGAGCATCTGTTCTCTACTCCCCGGGCCTTCTTTTGCCACTCATGGGCGAACTTTCTATCTGCGCGGCTCAAGGGGGTGCTGCTCCGTGGGGGGCTGGCATGAGCTGGGGCTCTTCCCCTCCTCCCTCCACCCCCGCGCCCCTTTCCACCAAATCACAAATTCTTCGCTCCTGCGATCGCTTCAATCTGCGGCTCTTCTTAGAGCATCTGTTGGAAAACATTGGGATTCTCCCATCATGCCCCGCGAGAGGGAGCGTGACATCACAGTGGGATGGAGGGGTGGGCTGGGAGAGGGGACACCTGCACTGCACAAAGAGGGGGCAGCAGCAGGTGCGCGCGCGCCAGGGGAGCCCTCCCCCTTTTTCCTGGGGAAGGGAGGAGGTGGAGGAAGCTGGGGGGGGGGTCCTACTGTTAAACCGCAGCTATTTTGCATTTCAGCCCCCCCATCTCTGCTCCCTTCCCCCGACTATTTCCCCCCAACCCTCGGCTGCGAGTCAGGAGCAGCCCCTGGCTGAGGTTGGGCTGTTGTGTGCCCAATCAGATCATCCCAATGTCTGTCCGGGTGCGTGTGAATTGGGGGGGAGGGAGAAATCCTAATGAGACTGGCCCCTTCTCTCCTCCCTCCCCGCCTCTTTCGGGAGCAGCCGCTGCGCGCGAGCCCCTCTTGCGTTGCTCCGGGTCTGCAAAGCGCGCCGCGTGTGGGCAGCGGGCTAGTGTGCCGGACTGCACGTGAAGAGTGTGTCGGCGTGTGCAACGGGTGCATCGCATGTGCGCACCGGGGGTGCGTAGCGGGCGTGTTAGCGTGCGCAGGGGGTCCTATGTCCGCAAGTGCAGCGTGGCTACCTTTTCTGGCCCCTCTCCTCTGGGCACTTGACTGGGTTATGGATTGAACCAGCTGTTGGCTCCGTCCCCTTTGCCTCCACTTTGCTTCCCAGCTCAGCCTCTCCTGCCTACATTTAATCCAGAAGTGGAGAAATAGCTGGTGGCACGAGAAACCCGGCGAGCTGCTGCTGCTGCTGCCCATGTCACCTGACGAGCTGTCTAAAACGCGGTCCTGTGGCAGCTTCCAATTTGCCAGGCGCTAGCTGCTCTGGCACAGTTTGTTTAGAGTTACGGGTGAATCTGTGGTACTCTCAGTGCTTTCTTTAACAGCCTGATTGAGGAACAAGGTGGCTCAATCAGAGCAGACTGCTTTTTTGTGGCTGGTGAGTACAGCTAGTCAGGGATTTTCCAGAGCAACATAATTAACTTTTGAAACGATTTTTAAAAATGTTATTTTATATTTTAAATAAGAACATAATAAAAAGTCAAAAAACTGGAGCAAACAATTTCATCTGACCCCAAATGATGATTTTCCTTGCAATTTCATTTTTTAAAAAATTCTCTTCTTGACTGGATTTTCCCTCCCTAATTTGTGGCATTTCCCAGGAATCAAAACATCTGGTTCCTGTCCAAAACTACAACCCTGGTAGATTGCTTGGCAGCATATGGTCCAATGCTCTGTGTGATTTTTTTCCCTATTAAAACTTTAAGCGATTGATGTCCCAGTTAGAGAAGGAGGGACCCTTTTTAGTCACTGCTCTGCTAGTGCAGAAGCACTGAGTTCATCCATGCAGCCTTTGCATAAAGTACACAGTAGAGATGTAAAATCCTGTTTAATTGGTTAAACAGCTAAACATAGTGCTAACACTAGATTTCACTGATTAATGGGGGAAGGGTGAGGGACCTCTCCAGCAGGGCTGGAGCAGCTCCGGACCCCGCCGCCCCCACCTGCTTGGGTTAGGCTAGAGTGGTCCCCACCTCAGGCAGGGGCTGCTCCAGCCTGGGGGCAGTTGCTGGGACTCCTGGCCCTTCCACGGCAGCTGTTGTGGCTTTCCCTGTCAGCCCCCACTGGGGAGCTGCTGGCTCCCAGACAACGTGGGGTCCGCATGAGAGGTCTGGCGGGACTGGAGCAGTCCTCTACCTGTGGGTGTGCCATGGGTGGGGAACAGCTCTTGGGTACCAGTTAATTGTTACCCGGTAAGCATCATCCATTAAGGCAGTGGTCCTCAATGCAGTGCTTGTGGGTGCCATGGCGCCCACCAGGGCTTGTATATTCGCCCGCCTAGTGACCAGTGCCAGCCCGAGCCATTCTTGCGCCCCAGGTGCATGCGTGGCCCCCACCCCGAGCGCGTGGTGCATGCACGGTGCCGCCCCCAGGCGCCCAGCAGCCCCAAAAGGTTGGGGATCACTGCATTAAGGTAACTGTTTAATTGGTTACCTGTTCACATCCCTAATAAACAGTGTCCTTGGACCTACACATTATCTGTAAAAAGCACCCTCCCCCCCAATAATGCAGTTGCTGTTGGGACTGAGTGCTAATACTAGGGATGTCAACGCATAGTCAATTACATGATTAACCAGGCTTATTGGTTAATCCTGTCGACTACATGCACTCCCCCCTCACCTTGCTGTATCAGAGGCAGCAAAGGAGGGGAGAGGTGGGAGCTGGAGGCTATCAGATAGCCGTGTAACCACTAAAATCTGATGCAGTTACACAATTATTCAATTTCACGGTATATAACATCCCTAGTTAATAGACACTTGACACAAAAGCAAGATTTCAGGGCTAGGGGTTTGCACATATGTATGTACGTGTTACGGGTATAGCTGGTAGAGGCACCTACACTTAAGATTGCCAGACATGTCCTCTTATTAGACTATCTACAGTTGCTTATAACTTTGTGAAACTAACAACTTGAGTTAAAATTTTCCGTTCTCGGTGTCTGCACTAGGCTGATTTTTTTTTTAATTCCAGCAAATATGGTGTTTGAAGGCCAGAAGGGGAGGAAGGAGTTTGGGAAAGATTTCTTCGAGAATGTGGTCCTCATCAAGCATGGGTTGTAGTTGTTTAATGATTTCCAGGAGGGATGGTAAGTGACTATGAGGGGCGTGCAGTTGATGGCTTATTTTCTGTATAGAGGCAGGTTTTCATGAGGTATTTGTGTGGCCTGTTCCATGATTTGATCTACTTCTCTGGTGGCGTGACCCTGTAGGGCTGTCCCTTAGGGCTGTGGGACACGGAACAATCCCTACTCTGTCCCCACCCTGCCTCTTCCTACCCCTGCTGCATCCCCACCCTTATTTCCTCCTTTCCTACAAACCTTCCTCTTCCAAGCAACGCAACCCAGGGGATTACTACGAGGCTTGTTTCAGCAAGCCCAGTTACTGTGGCACCAATGGTTGATCTCCCCACTCCAAACCAATTCTCAGCTGACTGGTATCTGTCTGGAGTTGCCAGCTTCCACAAAGTGATTGCCACTCACTTCTCTACAGTGAAAGCTGGGGAAAGCTGAGCACACAGTTCCATGAAGGTGGCTTTCCGCATTCCAAAGTTTTGAAGCCACTGGTTGTCATCCCAGACGTGCATAAGGATTTGATCCCACCACTCTGAGTTAGTTTCTGTAGCCCAAAATCGCTGATCCACAGTGCTCAGCTACTCATTTAATGCTAAAAGCAATCAAATGTTGATGCTTTTCATTTCAGGAAGCTCATCAGGCATTTCTAACTACCATTGTCTTTACAACTTAAGAACAGCTGCACTGCTATGTGTGATGTATTTAGTGGCAGCTATAAGAGCAGGGGACAGCCGTGTAGGATCCATTCTTGGTTGCAGCTGGGGTGGGGAAAAACAGCAAAACAATAAGGGGAGGGGATTAAAAATGCTGCAAAAGAAAAAGGAAGTAGTGGGTCTGCTGGGACATGAAGCAGTGCATTGTGGGTCACTGAGCAGGGACCCAGAATACCCAGCGTTCACCACCCCTCTTCCCACAAGACTGATTGTCAAAATGGAGAGAAATGCACTATGGGATGGCTGCCGTAAGAGCGCTGCTCTCATCCGCAATGGAAGTGCTACAAATGTGAACACGATCTGATGCCTGTGGAATTACGTGAGTACACAAAACCAGCGCTTGTCTAGCACAAAAAATGATAGCATGAAACTCTGGAAGTGTAGACAGCTAAAATCTGGGGAAGTTTCCACAAACCAGTTCCTCTGAGATAAAAGGCCAACTTTGCTTTAGCCAGATGTGTGCTTAATCAAATGGCCCACCATCGGATTAAGTTGCCATTCTTTGGCAGGAAAAAATATGTGAATGAGATAATTACATTTTAGCAAAAACAAACATCTGGAAATTCTCAGCCTCCCAGACTTGCTGACTCATGAACCCCAGATGATTCTCAAGAAAGGAAAAAATATAAAAATGGGCAACCGATGCCCCAAATGATTTCCCACTCAACCCTATCCATCAACAACCCTAAAAGAACAAAGGAAGTAGCTTTGGATGGGGAAGAGAGATCCTGACTGGAAGGATTTTGCTTTGAATTCACTTAGGTTGTTAAATTAGGGATTGGTTGGATTTTCCCTTTAATTTATTTGTAAACAGCTCTGAATTTTATGTCACTTGCCATCTATTTTTCTGTAGTTAAGAAACTTGTTTTGTTATTTTTAATCTAAATCAGTGTGTATGGATTGAAGGGTTTGGGAAACTCCATTTGAAATAATAAATTTATGCATATCATTTTCTGTTAATAACATGATGGATTTTATATGAGCTTGTATTTTCCAGCAGAATGCTCAGCTATACAAGATGCACTTTTCTGAGTGAAAGTCTGGGACTAAAATCTTCCTGGTGTTGCCATGCAGTATAATGCATGGGAGGCTGGCAGTGTTCCCTCTAATTTTTATGACTATGTGCAGAATCAATTTTGTTATGTGCACCAAGGCAAGTGCAGGCGTGTACTACCAATCAAAACAGATGCTACTGTTGGTTGTGGGCAGCTGCTGGCACTCTGTTAATCAGTCGGAAGCCTCTGACTCTCTCCTGGGTCGCTGTCAAGCACTCAGCTTACAGGGAACACTGGTTGTGGCAGGCTACAGCAGTCATACAATATACCTGAGAGTGATTTACATGCTGGAAGCTGTGAGTGTGAGGAGACCAGGCGTAATTGCACTCACAGTGAAGCCGCATAAAAGGCACCTCAGGTGGTAGAATTGAGGGGACACAGCTGTTCAGCTGTCCAAATTGTTCCCTTGGTAATGTCACAATTACTTCAATTTGAATTGTGTTTAGTTTAAAGAAAATGGCATTGTATTTTTCTCCATTCCAAATTTAAAAATTGATTAAACTTATTTTTTAAATGAAATATCCATTCAGTAAATACTAAAATAAGCAATACTTATGAACTATGTACCCCCTCCCCCTCTAAAAAAGAATCCCCTAGCCATCCACATTACAATTCCACTGATGTAACTTACTACAGAAAGTTAACACCCAAACATAATTAAAGGCAGCAGTAAAATTTTACTAATTTTATTTCTGAGGAATAGAAGACAAATGAATAGATACTTTATTTTATATTCCATTTAAAAAACAAAACCAAAAAGACCCTAGATGGTGTAATAGCTGAATTCTGAAAATATTTCTTTGAAGGAAAGAAACAAAGACAAGATGAATCACGTTGACCCAATTTTTCTTGAGTCAGCAGAATAGTCAACAGCCACATTTCCATTACTCAACAGCTCATCTGTGATCTCTGATCATACCTCTAATCTTTCTCGTTATTTCTTCCTTTGGAAAAAATGACTTAGGACAAATTAAGAATTATAATAATGTCAGCTCTAAAGCCATGATTGTTTTGATGACAAAGGGAGATGATTTTTTTTTTTTTTTGCTTCAAGCAATGTTTTCAGATCTTGCAACAAAAAGGATTATTTGTTTCTGGCTCATGTGGTTCTTACCTGGCTTTTTAGATTTTATGCCAGCGTGCTGTAACTCAGCATGCTCAGATTAGTAATGCTGATGTTACCTCTTCTGATGCTCAAAAGGTTCCTATTTCCTGTTTTTGCTCAGACAATACCTTGGTAAGTAGGACAAGGGGACATGTGGGAACTCATGTGCCAAGAAAGTGGTAAATAAATTCATGCCATTAAGAACAGATCAAAATTATTACTGTTTGGTGTTCCATATCGCATTGAAGGACTTGAAGAATTCCTTTTTCAAAAACAAGATACTTGCTACTATAAAATGGGGATAAGGGACCCAAATAGTAATAGGCAGAGATTTTTGGCTTCAATTGGTGCTTCTGACAGTTTCCAGGAATTGTCCACTGCTGCACAGAGTTTGGAGGCTGATTTTTCCCATTTCCTTTTTCTTCTCTCCACTCTGCACTGCCTCAGTTTGTCATCAGATGACGAGTGAGAGACCGAAGATGGGAAGAACAGAGGGTCAGTATAAAGGAACAGTCAGTTCAGACTGGGAAAATATGACCTCTGAAAAGTCAGACCTGAGATGACATGCCAAGTAAATGTTGATTTGTGCAAGTTTAAGTTCCCTGGGGGGTAAGTCTTGTTTGACTTCCATGCCCAATTTACTTCAAGCTTTTAAAACATTTGGGAAGAAAGGTGCACATGCTGCGTTTTGGCAGGGTGTTCTTTTTTGCCCTGTTCTCTTTTGAGTATGTGCATCTCTTACATGGCCCAGTCATATTATCTGCCAAACAAGGAAGAACAATTTAAATAACTGAACTGAAAGACACTTGTTGTGTCCACTTTTATCTGCAAAATAGTTCATAATCTGAGATATATGGGGTTACTTCAGTGATGATTTAGGGACTGGAAAAATAACATAGCAAAAAGAGGACTCGGGGCAACATCAAACCAACTACTTCAATCTTTTCTATAAATGAACAATAATTAACACTGCAGAAGGTGATGAAATATTTGCCTGTTCCATTTGTAGTGCAAGAGAGGTTCTAGACCCAAGGAAAAAATTAGAGAGAGGAAAAGCAAACAGTAATGCATAGCACTTTTCATCAATAGATATCAAAGCACTTTGCAATCTTTAATGTACTTATCTTCCCAACAGCCTACTTTAAAGATGGGGACCTGAGGCACAGAGCAGCTATGGGACTTAGGAATTGCAACACCTAACTTTGAGGTGTCTAGAAAATCATTGAAACTACAATAGGATCTGCAAAGCCTGAGTTACGTGCCTAGGCTTCATTTACAATGGACGGGGAGAGAGAGGCACCTCAGAATGGGATCCAAAAGCCAACATGGTGGACCAGGAGCTGTCTAATTTACCCAGTGGAAAAGAGAGGGGGGCTAGGGTCCTAAGCCCTGCCCCTCTCTGAGGTTAGGGTTGCCAGGTGTCCAATTTTGAGCTTTCTGTTCGGGAAACAAATTGAGAAAATATAAATGAGAAAATATAGATGTCCGGTATTTTTGAAATAAGATGTGATGTAGATTGTGATGTAATGTCAAGTGTGTCTAGTATTTTTGTTGAAACCATCTAGCAACTCTATACTGAGGTACATTGAGCTGCAAGGAGGCAACTCTTTCTCTTTGTGATTCAGAGTTGGGAATCTACTCCAGGAGTCAGTCAGCAGCTTAGATTTCTACATTATTCCTGAGCTTCAGGGGGTAGCTGAGTTAGTCTGTTACAGAAAAAAAACAGTAAGCAAATGGTCTGGTAGCACTTTATAGACTAACAAAACATGTAGATGGGCTGTGCCCATGAAAGCTCATTATACCATCTACATGTTTTGTTAGTCTATAAAGTGCTACCAGACCATTTGCTTACTGTTATTCCTGTGTGAATTAATTAGGTGCTTGCTGTACTCCCCGCAAAAGCAGGTGAAGGGGAAGGTGCTGCCACCACCAGCTTTAAAACTTTTTATTCCAGCGGTTCGGGTCTAAATTAAATTCTTTCCTCTGCCAGAGACTGAATGGTACATAGTGTAACAGCTTCAACAGGAGAGACTGAGGGAGTCCTGTATCAGCATATCCCAGAACTCAGTGGTTAGAGCCTTCTTGTGAGAGATGTGGGTTCAAATTCTTTTTCTTCCTTAGGCAGAGGAGAGAACTGAGCCT